ATTTCAACTTAAAAACTCAGTTGGGACCCCTGAGAAAGTTTCACATTCTTTAAAAAAACATAGTTGGGGGCCCCGAGAAGTTTTAACTTTCTTAAAAAAAAGGACACTTGGAGTCCCCGAGAAGGTTTCGCCTACTTTAAGAAAAAAGACAGTTAGGACCCTCGAGAAGATTTCACATTCGTTTTTCTTAAATGAAAAAGGGCCCCTGGGAAGGTTTTACATTCGTCCTTCTTAAGCGGAAAGGGCCCCTTAGAAGGTTTCACATTCTTCCTTTTTAAACAAAAAAGAGCCCCTGAGAAGAATTCAACTAAAAAAACTCATTTGGGGCCCCCGAGAAAGTTTCACATTCTTTAAAAAAACACAGCTGGGGGCACCGAGAAGTTGTAAAATTCTTAAACAAAAGCAGACTTGGAGCCTCCGAGAAGGTTTATCCTCCTTTAAAAAAAAGACAGTTAGGACCCTCGAGAAGATTTCACATTCTTCTTTCTTAAACCAAAAAGGGGCCTTGGGAAGGTTTCACATTCTTCATTCTTAAAAAAAGAGCCTCTGGGAAGGTTTCAGATTTTTAAAAAAATAACATTTCGGGGCTCCGAGAAGGTTTAGTTTTATTAAAAGAAGGACACTTGGCACGAGAAAATTTCGCCTTCTTTAAAAAAAAGACAGTTAGGACATCCGAGAAGGTTTCACGTTCTTCTTTCTTAAACGCAAAAGGACCCCTGAGAAGGTTTCGCATTCTTCCGTCTTAAACAAAAAAAAAAGATGCCTGAGAAGGTTTCACATTCTTCTTTCTTAAGAAAAAGAACCCCTGAGAAGGTTTTACATTTAAGAAAAAAAAAAACAGTTGGGGCCCTGAGACAGTTTCACCTTCTTAAAAAAAAAATCACAGTTGGGCCCTCGAGACGGTTTCACATTCTTCCTATTTTAACAAAAAAGGACTCCTGAGAAGGTTTCTCCTTTTTAAGACTCAGTTGGGGCCCCGAAAAGGTTTCACATTCTTTAAAAAATGACAGTTTTGAGCTGAGAGAAGTTTTAATATTCCTAATACATGGACACTTGGAGCCCCCGTTAAGGTTTCACTTTCTTCTTTCTTAAACGAAAAGGGCCCCTGGGAAGGTTTCACATTCTTTCTTCTTAAAAAAAGCCTCTGAGAATGTTTAACATTCTTTCCACTTAAACAAAAAAAGAGCCCCTAAGTAGGTTTTACATTTTTCTTCGTAAAAAAAGAGCCTCTGAGAAGTTTTCAACTTAAAAAATTCAGTTGGAGCCCCCGAGAGCTTTCGTTTTCTTTAAAAAAAGACACTTGGAGCCCCGGAGAAGCTTTCGCCTTCTTTAAAAAAAAGACAGTTAGGACTCCCGAGAAGGTTTCACATTCTGCCTTCTTCAAAAAAAAACCAGCCAATGAGAAAGTTTCACATTCTTCCTTCTTAGACAAAAAAGGGCCCCTGAGAAGGTTTCGTATTCTTAAAGAAAAGAGCCCCTGAGAATGTTTATAAATACAGTTGGGGCGCTCGAGAAGGTTTCATATTCTTAAAAAAAAGTTGGTGTCCTGAGAAGGTTTTACATTAAAAAAAAAAATAACAGTTGGGGCACTGAGAAAGCTTCATCTACTTAAAAAAAAAAGACAGCTGGGTCCCTGAGAAGATTTGACATTCTTAAAAATTCAGTTGCGGCGCTTGGGAAGGTTTCACATTCTTAAAAAAAAAAACAGTTGGATCCCCCGAGAATGTTTTACACTCTTAAAAAAAGTTGGGGTCCTGAGAAGGTATCATTTTAAAAAAAATTATTGGGGCCCTTTGAAACTTTTACCTTCTTAAAAAAAAGACCGTTGGGCCCCCAAGAAGGTTTCATACTCATCCTTCTTAAACAAAAAAGGACTCCTGAGAAGGTTTCGCCGTCTTAAAGACTCAGCTGGGGCCCTCGAGAAGGTTTCACATTCTTATTTCTTAAGAAAAAGAATCCCTGAGAAGGTTTCCAAAAACTCAGTTGGGGTCCCAGAGAAGGTTTCATATTCTTCGTTCTTAAGAAAAAGAGTCCACGAGAAGGGTTCAGATTCTTATAAATACAGTTGGGTCGTTCGAGAATGTTTCACATTCTTAAAAAAAAAACGGTTGGGTCCCCCGGGAATGTTTTACATTCTTAAAAAAAAATTTGTCCCGAGAAGATTTTACATTTACGAAAAAACCAGTTGGGGCCCTGAGAAAGCTTCGCCTTCTTAAATAAAACACAGTTGGGCCCTCGAGAAGGTTTCACGTTCTTCCTATTTTAACAAAAAAGTACTTCTGAGAAGGTTTCACATTCTTTAAAAAATGTTAGTTGGGACTTCGAGAAGGTTTAACATTCTTAAAAGAAAGACACTTCGAAGGTTACGCCTTCTTTAAAATTGAGAGAGAAGGTTTCACATTCTTCTTTCTTATTGAAAAGGGCCCGCGAGGAAGGGTTCACATTCATCCTTCTTAAAAAAAGGAGTACCTGAGAAGATTTCACATTCTTAAAAATACAGTTGGGGCGCTCGGGGAGGTTTTCACATACTTAAAAAAAAAGTTGGTGACCCGAGAAGGTTTTACATTGTTAAAAAAAAAAAATGATAAATTATTTCGACAGAAATTCTTTCGCCCTTGAAATAGTCCGACATATCCCGCTTCTTTAAAATATCATAAAATTTGATTTTTCGATTTTTGCTTTGTTATAACCTCTATAAACTAAAAACTAGTAGCGTAATTAACACTCTGCAGATCGCAGAAGTGTGTAAAATGTGAAATGTATAGAGTGATTTCGAAATATATGCAATAATTGTAACCACTTCATCACGTACCGTAGTAATGTGGAAATACAGAAAAAACAAATTAAAGGTCGAATGAGGCAAAACTCCCATGCACCACCCTGGTTGCGTTCGATGTAAACACTCTCAGCTTCAATTAAAAGTAAAACCGACTGTTGCTGGTTATCATTCGTTCAATCATTGTTAAAAGTCAGTGCCAAAGATTATTAGTGTTGTAGAAACAAATGGCGATCGACTTTTTATTTTGACGAAAGTTTGGTGCTTGCCACAACGATTCCACTGTGTTTATTAGAAAGTTCCACGAAGTTCTTCGATAATTTCTGGATACTGTTGATTTCCATAAACCAACCCCACAGACAAATATCACACGGATTGAGATCGGTTGAACGTGGAGGTTACGCTACTGGACCGTTTATACCGACCCACTGGTTAGGAGAACGGTTATTTAACCATTCAATTACTGGTTTAGCAAAATGTGGTGGTTCGTTAAAAAAAGTTACAATAAATCATTATCATTTTATTAACGTGTCCTTAAAAAATTGCATCAATATTTATTCGAATTGTGAAAACCTACCTGGCACTGTAAACACGCCCCAATCCGCTGGAAATCACTCGGACTTCCAATATCATCAAAATTTACAAATATATAGCTATAGTAAAAGTTCACTTCCATGAAGCTAAAATATTTACATCTCGAGGAGAAACTATTTCAGCCTCGAGGGAAAACCGTGACCTTTCAGCACCGACAGGAGGTGAAAAATGTCAAGATTTCATGCACGTTATAAAAAATGTTGCTTTGTTAAAACGCGCTGACACAACGTTATTAAATGTTTAAGTGTTCGCCGAAACTTGGATTTATGTTCTTGACAACTGGCATTTTCGACATATTTGTCCACCAGAAAAAAAGTTGTATCTAATGTTTGTATTTTATTTCGCCTCTGGAACTACACAACCCTCCAACCAGATTTTACCAGCTCTCAAATCAGATTCGTGCTTATTCAATGCCGCTGCATTGTCAGCCCTCGTGCAGTTTACCGTGTAAAGAGACACGGAATCCGTGAAAAATGCACGATAGCTTGCTATAAAGACATCCGGAAACCACGTTTTCCAGATGAAGGATTAACATGAATTGCAAATGGGCCGCTGCAGTGTTGACAATGGCGTTACCTCCACTGCGAAATACAATTCGAAAAGGGAATATCTTTTACGATAGGCCGCTTAAAGCGGTCTCGTTTAGAATACGGATCTGATACGGGAGCGTATTGCAGTTTTATGGCGGGGTGATGGATTCGAGGAAAACGTCAAATTTGTGATAAAATTAGGTGGGAGATTGGAGAGTCTGTAAGAGGGATGGAAATTTTTCAGTGGGTCGACACGAGTGGGAGGTTTCGGATACAACCGGATCAAGCAAATTTGAATAAAGATTAGTGGTTTTTAACCGTACTTTTGAATTTTGTTTTTTTTTTTTAATCCTATCCAGGATTTGTTCCGATTGTTTAGCAATGCTCGAACAACTCCTTGGTAAAATCCTCAGTATAGACGATTACAGTTCTTCATGCTTTATTGGAGAAATCTTCAAGTTCTTATTGTCCCTCTTATTACAAAATTTATCAGGCAATATGAGGTAGCAATGTTTTCCCAATAACGATCTGATACCGCTAGCTAGCATGAATAATTCAGTAAAAATCTTATGAATAACAGATTCTTCCTTAAAGTGTACAAAATCAAAACGGGCGGTTTTAATTTTTTAATATAAGAGTTTCAGAAAGTCACAAAACAACTCTTTTAATTTGCATAGTAATGCATATTGATTCCTCTTGAAATGTACACGGTGTTCGGAATTCATCGCCATAATTTATTCATTAAAAAGCAGTCACTGTTACATTCAATGTTATCCTCATTAAATAAATCTTTATATAAATTTTTCCATTTCTGTACGGTTCAAATTTAATTTTGGCCTGATGAATTGGTTTTAGGATTATTACGAAATATTGATTTCGATGAATCAAAACAAAGTTTGCACAAGCTTAGCCCGACACAACTCGAATGCACAAATAAATTCGCTAAAAAATTATATTCCCCATCGATTTTTGTCACCCCAATAAAATGGTGCTCCACCGATTGCTAAAAATCCACTGCACTTTAAGAGATTAATGCGCTCTTAACCCCGCTAACGACCTCGTTAAAGACAGCCCAACAGCCAACTCTTCCTTTGTTGCAGTAATCCTGTGTCTGAAGGACGTCGTCCTGCAGATCGAGCCCGAGATCGTCCATTTCGGCGAGGATTCGACTCTTCGGTGCAGCTACGACCTCGAAGGTGCACCGCTTTACTGCGTCAAGTGGTACAGGGGCAGCTATGAGTTCTACAGATACACGCCCAAAGAATTCCCCAGCACGAAAATATTTTCCTATGACGGGATCCGTGTCGACGTAAGTACAAAACGTGCCAAAAAAATAAACACGACATAATGAAAACTGTCGGGAATTTCAACAGCGACAAATTGAGAGCGATTAATTTTCGGCGGCTGTAGTTACTGAAACGTACCAGTCGTTGTATTCGTGATGAGGTGGTTTATTTATAACGAGGGTGCAAATAAAAATTGTTACTGGAGGGGAGGGAGGGCGAGGTCTTTGTTCTCTAATTTTTAGGTGGATTAGGGGGTTAAATTTAAGGAGATATTGTTACGATTGACGGACGAATAATAAATCGGGCGTTGGTGAAACTCAAATATTTATTTCTTTAGCTCGAATTACAACACTATCTATTGCAACGAATATGTACAGAAATTATTCCGGCGCTCTCGACTGTCTTCACTGGATGAAAATCCATTACCTACGGTCGCCTCTATTTAAACCCATAGTCTCTGATCGAGATCCTTCACGAACATCCATCGCGACTCCGCTTCGAGACTCCCCTGGACGCCGCTTCGAGACGCTCCAGACCTGTCTTTATGCGCCCGCCTCTCGGCCGTCAACAGCGATGATTCACCCATCAGCGCCGTGCGTACGTCCAGAAGGCTCTCGACCGCCATAGGCGTCGTACTGGGGCGGCGTAAGGGTATATTTCGTAACACTGCCCCCCTCTTCAAATCCGATCGTCCCGATCGGAAGCGTCTTCGTTGTTTCCTTCGTATCGTTTTAGTCGATCGAGATGAACGATCTTCATCTTCGTCTTTGGTCCACGTTGGATCCGATAAACTACGTCATTTATTCTAGTGACGATAGTGTATGGACCTTCCCAGTCAGGAGCCAGTTTTGGGCAACGTCCCTTCTTCCGTCGGGGGTTATACAGCCACACTAAGTCATCTTCCTGGAATCCGCCACAGTTGGCCTTCACATCATAACGGGTCTTCATTCGGTCACTGGCAATCTTGATCCGGCCCCTCACTAGTTCATGCACGTTGACCAACTTCTCTTTCAGTTCGTCCACGTAGTCACGTACTTCCATTGGTTCTTCGGATGGCAATCCAAAGACTAGGTCACAGGGCAGCCGCAGTTCCTTCCCAAATACAACGTGAGCAGGTGTTTGGCCCGTGGTGTCGTGGATAGCTGCGCGGTAGGCCAGCAGGAATAGTGGAAGGTGCTGGTCCCAATCCCTTTGGTGCTCTTCTACCACTTTCGAAAGGTGTTGCTCCATAGTCCGATTGAACCTTTCCACCATGCCGTCGGACTGTGGGTGTAGTGGCGTTGTCCTTGTCTTACGTATTCCCAGTAGCTGCATCACTCTTTGGAAGACGTTGGATTCGAAATTGCGTCCCTGGTCTGAGTGAAGTTCCAAGGGGACGCCAAACCTACTGATCCAATTGTCAACCAGTACTTTCGCGACCGTGACGGCTTCCTGATTTGGAATGGCATAGGCATCTGGCCACTTGCTGAAGTAGTCGCTAGCCACCAGGATAAACTTGTTGCCGTCGTTTGTTACAGGGAACGGACCGGCCACATCGATGGCGATTCTTTCGAAAGGTGCCCCAACATTATATTTCTTCATCTTTCCCCTCGCCCTGGTATGAGGACCTTGGCTGGCCGCACACGTCGTACACTTGCGACACCAACTTTCGACATCGTCACGATGACCTACCCAATAAAACCTCTCCCGGATTTTCGACAAAGTTTTGTTCACTCCGAAGTGGGCTCCAGATGTTCCGGCATGAACTTCCTCTAAGACCTTGGAAACCTTTACCTTGGGGAGGACCAGCATCGTCTTAGAGGTACGCCCATCAGGACTCTCCCACTTTCGCTTCAAGAGCCCATTTTCCATGACCAAGGAATCCCATTGGGCCCATAATGCCTTCAAACTGGGGGATTGGTCGGACAATTCTGCCCAGCCGGGTCGTTCGACTCCTTCCTCCTTCCACTTTAGTATTGGTCCGATTATGTCGTCTGCTTCTTGCTCACGCTTTAACCGCGCCGTTGTCCATTCTTCATCTTGCTCAAAAATCGTCCGACGAACGGGCAGGTTCCCTTCTTCCGCGTCGATCCTGTCGCAGTGCTTGCACTCTCCACACGGACGCCTTGACAAAGCGTCAGCGTTGTTGTGAAGTCGACCCGCTCGGTGTTTGATCCTAAAGTGGTACTGCTGTAGTCGTTCCAGCCAACGCGCTACTTGGCCCTCGGGATTCTTTATCTGCAGTAGCCACGAGAGGGCAGCGTGGTCGGTCCTGATCAGAAACTCCTGTCCGTATAGATACTTGTGGAAGTGGTTGACGGCTTTGACAATGGCTAGTAGTTCCTTCCTTGTGGCACAGTAATTTCTCTCTGGTTTGGAATGTAATTTGCTAAAATATTCGATAACCCTTTCCTCCCCATCTTGTATCTGCGACAATACGGCCCCAATTCCCGAGTTACTCGCATCGGTATCGAGGACGAACATTCCTTTGTCCCTGGGGTAAGCCAAAATGGGGCTGGTGCACAAAGCCGTCTTCAGTCTCTTAAAGGCCATCTCACATGTACTGCTCCACTTGAAAGTCGCCTTCTGCTCCGTCAGTTGGTGTAACGGTGCTGCGATGTCGGCATACCCTTCTACAAATCGTCGGTAATATGTGCAGAGTCCCAAGAAGCTTCGTAGTTCATGCTTGTCTCTTGGTATGGGCCAATCCCGGATAGCAAGAACTTTCGTCGGGTTGGTTTCTATTCCTTTCTCCGACACGATATGGCCCAGGAACTTGACTCGTTTCTGGAAGAGTGAGCATTTCTTGGGATTTAGTTTCAAACGAGCGTTTTCCATTCGTTCTAGCACCTCCTCGAGATTCTTCAGATGGTCATCAAACGTTTTGCCCATAATCATAACGTCGTCGAGGTATACCAGACAGGTCTTCCATGTCAATCCTTTCAGCACCATCTCCATCAGCCGCTCGAATGTTGCTGGCGCATTACATAATCCGAAGGGCATAACGGTGAAGTGATAGAGGCCACTTCCGGTGGAGAACGCAGTCTTTTCTTTGTCGTCCGGGTGCAAGCCTACTTGCCAGTAGCCACTCTTCAAGTCCAAGGTCGAAAACCACGCCGAGCCGGATAAGGTCGTCAAGGTATCGTCTATTCGAGGAAGGGGGTAACTGTCTTTCTTCGTGACGTCGTTCAGTTTCCTGTAATCGACGCAAAATCGGGTAGTCCCGTCCTTCTTGGTAACCAAGACTACTGGAGATGACCACGCGCTGTTGGATTCTTCAATTACCCCATCTCTCAACATGTTGTCCACGAGTTTTGTAGCTTCTTCTTGTTTGGCTAGGGGTAGTCTTCGAGGAGCCTGACGGATCGGTTGCGTGTCACCAGTGTTTATTCGGTGTTCTACGATGTTGGTCTTCCCGAATGGTTCCTCCTCTGAGGCGAAGACATTACGGTGCCTACGAATGAGTCCTTTGGCCAGTTTTCTCTCACGAGCAGACAGCTGGTCCCAGTTGACCTCCAAGCCTTTGGTATCCCCTTCCTTAGACTCATTCTCAACGTCTTCTTCCTCGCAGTTCAATACTCGGGTCACTGGCTCACACATTCCGATAATCTCCCCTTTTCTAATATTGACTGCATTGGGAAACACGTTTGCCACACGTAAGGGTATGTCACGATCGGTTTTGACTAGGGTGCTCGCGATCAGGAGCTTGTGGGTCGAGTCACTTGCCGGCTGCACCATCCCCAAACTGTATCCGGGGTTTGTCTCTACTCTGGCGGGAACGATGACTTCTGCATTACCATCTACCTTCGTTGTCTGACAGACCACTAGTCTGACTGTTGCAGCTTCCACATTCGGACGTCCCAACACAAATTCTTCGGCTCCGAAACGCAGAATTTTCTGTTCTGGATCGATCATTAAACCATACCGGCTGATTAGGTCCATTCCCAGAATGAAATCGTCAGCGATTTCCGCCACCAGAACTTCATGCCTTATTCGGAGTCGACCGAGCTCTACATTCACCACCGCTGTACCCAGAACCGGTGTTGTTTCTCCCGTTACCGTCTTCACATTCGTGGCGGTACATACTGATGTAATCTGACAATTTTGTAACCTGGATCTGCGTGCAAGGGACACTTCGGCTCCTGTGTCGATGATGATCTTCGATTCCCGTCCATTGATTTTTCCGCTGATTGTCGGACTATCGACGCTCCCCGCGATACTTCTAACCATTACAGTTGTTGGGGCTTCTCTTTTAGCAGCCAGTACGCGCCCCGAGGTACCGACTGCCTTTAGTTTTCCTGCTCCTGATGTAGACGAGGTCGCGGCTGCGATCTCCTCATCGGCCCTGGCGATCTAACACGGCAATCCCTCCTAACATGCCCTTGACGCCCACACCTGTAACATTCTAGGCGCCCTCCATGTTGTCTAGAACTGCCCGTCTTGATTTCGGCAATTATTTCGCGGGCGAATTTCTCAAAGTTCTCGCTCATTTTGTCGAGACTCTCTTGAATAGGGTTTACTTCGCCCTCAACCCCAATGCCTCGTATCTTAACGTTGGAACGAGGTGAGCTGTTGTATGCGGCGTCCACTTCTAACGCTCGAATCAGCGCCTCGGATGGTTTCTTGAACCCGGAGATTTGCAGGACTCTTCTTACCTCACTATCTCTTACGCCGTTTACGAAGGTTTCTGCTGCCAGTCTGTCTTGGAAGTCTTGCGGAGCTTCAGGATAGGCGAGGTGTACCAAACGTTTAACATCAGCCGCAAACTCCTGAAGAGATTCACTACTCTTCTGAATCCTAGATTTAAGCTGCGCTACGAAAACTTGCCGGAGGTGTTCATCTCCAAATCTGAGTTCGAGGGCGGTCGTCAAAGCGGTATAGTCCTTCTGGTTCTCTTCTGATAATGTCTGTAGAATCTCCAGGGCCGCACCTCGTAGTGCTACTACCAAAGCGGTCGCTTTCTGTTGGTCATTCCAGCTATTCGACAAGGCCGCAGCTTCAAATTGCTTCTTATAAGTAGTCCACGACGTCTGCCCATCGAAAA